GAGATATTTTCGCTGGGGCTTACACTATGTAACCATCGCATTCAAAGCTTATACTCCAATAATATTTGATGGGGGCTCAAGAGTCTGCTCTGTGCAGCATTTGAGTCCGCTGTCTATCATTTCAATATTTCCTGGATCTGCGTAGCTCAATGCCAGCTTTGTACGGAATTTGAATACTCTAACTCTCTCTAACGATTATTATTTGAGGCTTATACCGTGACAAACTTTGTATTACAATATATTTTGCCATATTAATAGGATCAGCAGAGTTCAATCCTCGCTTTGCAAAGTAGTCCAATACTCTATACTCTTACATAAATAAGGTTTTGTTTCGAACTATTCTACTTCCAGATGGAATCCCATAGTCTAGTCTTACTAGTCTAGTCTTACTTTTTCCTCATATACTTTTTTCCCTCTACTCTTATACTCCTCCACTCTTATACTATATAAGCAATTTTGTTATCGCATATCTTAGTAATATTTTACATTACTATTATTTTAAAAAATTTCTTTTCAGTTGTATGACCTACTCGTATACTTCACTCGTATACCTCATTCTTGTGCTTATACTTCATTATGACATAATTCCACTCTTATACATGTTTTACCCTTTAACAATTAGTATACGCCACTCTTTTAATATAAATATTCCGCACTTATCTAATGTATAGGGTATTCATGAGTCGTTATCCAGTTAGCTGCTGCTTGTTGTCCGTTGTGTTGGCAGTTTTGGCCGCTGCTTGCGGCTATATTTCGGAATGTGTGTCCTTTGTTACCAGTTTATGTTGATTTATGTGAAAATAATCCAGGCGCATTTAACATGGAGTGCTAGGCCTTAAACGTAAGCCTCCTTTTTGGATCTCGGACGTCCTGTTGCAGCTGCCGCAAATCAAATTGACGAAACAAACAAAGCCCACAAGTGTTCAAGCGGCTAACTTATTTATTTAAGCAGGGCGGTAGAAGTGCCTGTAAAGGATCTTAGCTAATATACCCTGTAAACAGATGGCAAATGGGTATATTCACGTTGTAGCAAGATAATCAAGCTGATTTATAGGAAATAGAGTCAACTTTAATCTATTTATTTTGTAGTAAAATATTGTTTAACAAAATTGGCTTTAACTTCAGTGTTGGATAACTAATTTAAATATTAACAACTGTCGTTAAATTATCGAATACTTAGGCATTTATGATAAAAGATGTTTAGTTGAAGATTTGCTCTTATAGAGGGTATCTAAACATCATCATACATCTAGTAAACAATTTTATTTGCTAGACGAATAGAATTTTGATAACAATTTACATTGTTTTTACACAAACAACAATTCCATCATTGCGATTTGATTGGTGGCAAGAAGCATTTGACAATTAAACTTCATTTAATACAAAAAAAAAAAAAAAAAAAAAAAAAAAACAACAACAAAGGCAATGCAAAATTCTTGTAATTTAATTACAATCAAAAAAATTTTAATTTGGGCTCATTTAATTGGAGGCTGATGTTAGTGCCAAAAGGCAAATTTAATACACTTAATTGCAAAAGGACTGTGGGCCTGGCATTGACAAAAGCCAAAATTTTGTTAATTAAAAAGTAGCTGCCTTGGGGTATCACTGCGTGTGCGGGAGAGAGACAGGGAGAGATACTGGTCGAGGACCCTAACAACTGGACCGCCTTGGCCCACAGCGGCTGTAAAAATAAACCAACACGCCATGCGCCGAGAATGTGTGAAAAACAACAAGAGATACCGCTGCTTTGACTGCTACACTCCTCACTCTGCTGCCGCTCCTCCTCCTACTCTTTCTCACTCTCTCACTCTCAGCCTCTCTACGCTCGTGTCATTTCAATGGCTCGAGAGTCCAATAGGCTATGCGTGCGTTGAGAGGCGCCTGGAAAATCTCAATTGCTGACGCAGCGAAACATTTTCAGTTTTTTTTTTTTGGTTTTTTGCTCTTCCACCTGTTTTGCCGTGGCCACAAAAATAGATTTAACCCAATGCACAATTTGTGCGAGTTCTGTACGCCTTATACGCGTATGCCAGCGATTGTTATCGAAATTGTATCCGCTCTAGCAGGCAAAGCGAATAATGTTATCGACGTCGATGTTTGTGTGTGAGGAAGGTCACACAGTCGCAGCTTTCGGCTTGCCTTCATTTTATTTTACTTTTATTTTTCTTTCTCTTCTTCTTATAGGTCGATGTTATTGTTTGTGTGTATGTGTGTGATTTCTGTTGTTGGCTTTTTGGCAAATGTATGCTTATTATTTCTGGCTTTGTTGTTGGTAATATGAATAAAATATGACCATTTATTAAGGGCCATGCACTTTGTCTGACACGACATTCAAAGAATACAACAAAATCTTACTACACCCGCCCATCCAAATGGCATGCTTTGGAAATTGTCTTGTATATTATACATATACACTACACTCAGAGGACATCAGAATATTTATGACTCGTTTGGTAGCATCGAGAAAATAAATTGAAGGGGAAACTTGGCCAAAATATTGTAAAATCTAAAATATTTTAAGTTAGACCTTTGAACTTATTATATATAATTATATCTAATCATATACCATTTAAAAGTAAATATGTACTCAATATGTGCAATAATAACATTATATTAAAATGTGCAAGATTATCTCGAAAAATCTCTTAAGTCAGATATCTATCCTATAATAAAAATGCCAAATAACTTTATGATAATTCTCTAAGCATCTATTACAATAATTGCTATTCTGGTAGAGCGAAGATAGAGTATTCAGAGTTCGTCAAGCCTCACCCTTGTGCTCATTAGGCAATTTGACATCATTTAAATTTCTGTTGAATTCGCCCTCAAGCATTTTTCAATACGCGCTGCGTATAAATTAAATTAACTGCCTGGACATAAAAATGGCTTTGACCTTGGGCCAAACTGTTCGAAAAGTTTTTCTTTTATGCATTTTGCGATATTTATGTAAATGTTAATGCCATGTGTCTGCCATTGGAAGTAGTCAAATTATCTTGTTATAATTATGTTTTTTATGGCTTTTATAGCTACAATTAATTGGAATGTGTGTATCAAAAGAGGTCTTTGGGCGACTCTAGCTGTCTTCTGAATCGTCGGAGAGATCCGATAGTGAGGGTATTTCGAAAAACTTTAAGAGCTCCATTTTCGACGTGATTGTGTCGTTATGGTTGGGTGTCCTTAGCAAATCCTTATCCTCCTCTTCCTCATCTACTTCCTCATCGCCGTCGAAAAACAATTCAAATTCACTTTTATCTTCGCTCTCCTCGCTCTTGAGTGTCACCAAACTTGTCTGTGTGCCCGAGGAGGTGGCCCTATTCTGATCTGTTTCTCGTTTCTGAAAGTTTTTTTCGTTGAACTTGATTTCGGAATCTTCGGGTCGGAAACGTATATTACGCGATTTCTTTTTTTTCTTTGTACTCTTCGGTCCATCATCTGTCAACTCTTCAGCCACATGCAAATTATGTTTTTTTTTCTGGCTATGCAAGATTTTGAGAACATCCGTCGAGTCTTCGGAAGAAAGATGCTTTTTTTTTATTGTATTTTCTATTACTTCTCGATCGAATTGCGTTTTAATTTTCCAAATTTCCGATTCCGAGTTCGAGTCGGAAGTTGTTAGACTCTGAGTGGAGCTGTTCGATGGATTTTCTTTTTTTGTGCCTGTTGTATTTCGAACTGCTGGTACTACCAATTCAGTATAGCTAGTAATCTTTTTTTCTACTTCTTTGGCGACTGGTACTACTAGTTCGGTATAACTAGTAATTGGAGTTGTTTTTTTTTTTTCGGAGACGGCTACCACTAATTGAGTATGGCTAGTAACTGGAACTGCTTCTTTTTTTTCTTCTTCTTCTTCTTCGATGAATTGTGCTACCCACTGATCGTCGTTTTTTGAATTTTTTTTATTTTCATCTATTGTATATTTCGCTTTTTTCTTGGTTAAGGTTTTGTCGGGGTTTTTTTTTTAATTTTCGTATAAACATATATTTTTGTTGTGTGTGTGTGTGCAGGCTATAAATTTTTTTCTAATACTTAAAAAACTCGGAAAATTTGATTGATAAGCCATTGTTAACAAGAAATTGAAATTCATTTATATACTCGAATATTTTTCACTTATAGCAGTAAATTCAATAGGATTACTTTTAATGGGATGTACTTTTATGTATTTTTATTTTTTCTATATGTATGTACATATTTCGCATCACTTTAGCTCATATTTTCTATGCAAAGTACTTTCAACTAATTTTCCACTTGAATTAACTAATTCACAACATTTTCGCACATTTCGCATAATTGAAAATTCATTCAACACTCAGCGAAAGCAATTTCCAATGCCAATTTTAAGCATGATACCATGCATTCCGCGTCCAAAATGAAAATTTTACCTAATTTGAAAAGTATGGAAAATGCATTGAGACAGCTGGTTAAAGAGGCGGCCAGGCATTTCCACACTCCGAAAAACAAAATGTGGAAATTCGAAAAAAAGATAAACATCGAACTGAAGAGCCGATATTATGTATATGTTAATTGGAAGGGGAGAAGGAGAAGAGCAAGTGGAGGCAGCAAATAACTTAAACTAGAGGAAGAAGAAGCAGCAGCCGTTGTTGAAGAAGAGGAAGCAGCTTGTAAGAATTTACTAAGGGGCGCGCGCGTCTATTTTTCACATGATGTGTGAAAAATTATTGAAATTGATTTTTGCCAAGTTCTTTTTGTTTTTGTTGTTTCTTGATGATTATTCTGATCTAATTTTAAAACGCACGACTCATCATGCGAGATGGCGACGCTCAAAGTCGGAATAGTGAGAAATAAAATGAACACAATCGCACACACACACACACACACACATACACCTGATGACCGCGCCCACGCCTTGGCCACAAAATCTCAGCAGCATTTGCTCACATAGACGACTCCGAATTCGGATATATTTTTGGAAAATTCTTGAACAACGCGTTTGTGTGTGTGAGCATTCTCTTGCTCTCGCGCTTTAAAAGCCGCATACGCCCTGTGGCCAGGCATCAGTGTAGGCTTGCAATAGCTTTGGTGAAGATCTTATAAACCAATTACTCCCCATCCTTAAAACAAAAAAACAAAACTCAAACATGTCTCTGGAACGTGCTGTTCGTGCCAAGGTGAAGAAAAGTGAAACATAAACTTTAAATTACAAATCAAAAATTAATAATTAATAAATTTAAAAAAAATTTTTGTTTGGAGAAAAGTTAAAAAAATTAAAAAATAATTTTTGTTTGAAAAAAAAAAAATAAATAACAAAATTTTGGTTGTTAAAAAATGAAATTAAAAATATAAAATAAAAAAGATCTTAAAATTAAGTGCTTTGTGCTTAATTAATACATTAATAATAATAATATTACTGAATTTGTTTTGTAATTAAAATTAGATTGCCGGCAAACGCAATCCCCAGATGGACAAAGAGGCCCAGGAATGGATCGAGGCAATTCTGGGTGAGAAATTCCCCGCTGGTCAGGCATACGAGGATGTGCTGAAGGACGGTCAAGTGCTGTGCAATCTGATCAACAAATTGCAGCCCAATTCTGTCCCCAAGATCAACTCCTCCGGCGGACAGTTCAAGTTCATGGAAAACATAAACAACTTCCAGAAGGCGCTGAAGGACTACGGTGTGGCCGATATTGATGTCTTCCAGACTGTCGATCTGTATGAGAAGAAGGATATTGCCACCGTGACCAATACCATCTTCGCTCTGGGCCGTGCCGTAAGTACACTAATTGATTGATTGAGTGACTGAATGATTGATGGACTCTTTTATTGCAGTGCTACAAGCACGCTGACTTCAAGGGTCCCTTCCTGGGCCCCAAGCCCGCCGATGAGTGCAAGCGCGATTTCACCGAGGAGCAGCTGAAGGCTGGCCAGACCATCGTTGGCCTCCAGGCTGGCTCCAACAAGGGCGCCACCCAGGCTGGTCAGAATATCGGCGCTGGCCGCAAGATTCTGCTCGGCAAGTAAATCCATAGGATTTGTCCGCGACTTTCTATCTATGTCTTTCTACTATGATTTCTTTGTTATAATTTCTACAACTATGTTTAATTGTTAAGTTTACAACAAAATCAAAACATATTAAACCACCCAAAAAATATTCCTTACACAAAAACACACACACACATAAAAAACAAAAATCCAAAAAAAAAAAAAAAGATATATCAAACACTCACACAAATGCACACATGCACAGCACAAAGGCTTGTCGTTGCGATTTATATTAAGTATACGCCTAAGATTATTTATACAAAAAAGAAGAAGAAAACGAAATAAAGAGAAGATTATGTGGAGAAAAAAATTAAATCGAAATCGAATTTTAACCTTCAGCTACAAAATGTGGCGTTTGTGTGGGTGTATCTTTTATTTATTCATTCCATAAATCTAGCATATGTGCATATACATATATCTATCATATATGTATATATAAAATCTAAATATGGCTGCCTATAAGTAATATATATATACAGATGTGAAAACGTAAACAGCCTGTTTTTACAAGTGTGTGAAAAATATTCCACTGAAGCGTGTTGAGGTCATTCTAGATTATATGTATATCGACTATATATATAGCAGATCATCTACATATATATAAGCCAGATATACACCTTTGATGGAACCGGTAAAGACAAAGTTTGATGATTAATTCTACTAAATTGAATTAATATTTGTTAAGCAGTTTACAAAATTTGTTTTTGGCTGAGCAAACCGTTAAATTTGTCTATAATATAATCTGACTGCAGGTGTTATGCGACATTCAGAATTATGCGCGCCCGAGACATTTTCAGAATTTCACGCCCCCATTTAAATTCGTTGCATTTTTGATTTATGCACACGAATTTCAATTCTATTTGTAAGGTATTTTGATTTATTCACGATTTTTGTAACGTTATACAAAATATTATCAAATACGGAAGGAGAATGAAGTAGTGGATCGTGAAACTGTTCTAGACTGGAGTGTGGATAATAATTTACCCATCCCTAATTAATACATTCTGCCTTTATGAGAGGACTAGTAAGAGCGCTTGTGGATGGTAAGAGTAATTGAGCATTGCATGCATGCATGCATTGGTCGTTGCACTTCAATAGAGTTATGTTAGTTGAGTAATTAAACAAAAGAGGGCGCAGATGGGAGCGTGGAACTTATGTGGACTACAAATGTCGCAATAGCTTAAGAGCAAGCTCAAAGAGAAAATCAAGTCAGTGCGTACTTTGTATGTTGATCGCAATGGTATGCGCGTGTGTGTTAATAAAATTGATTTTGTTGCGCATGTCAAGTTATTTTTCACATGCTCTTTGAGCTATAAATCAAATTAAAATAGTTGTAAAACATATATACATATTTTGGTGACTAGGTGAATACATTTTTTGAAGCTAAAAATATGGCGACGCCGCCAAACGCAATCCACATCCAGCCGCCGAATATCAAAGAATGAGGGAGAGAGAGAGAGAACGTGCATTGGAAGTTTAGTACACTGAAGAAAAGCTTTTGTCATGCGGGTGAGTTGTCTTACATTCTTCGATGCTAACGTAATCAAATTTACATATGGGTGCCATACAAATAAACAGTCGAAAGAGTATTTAAGCGCCGGCATGCCTGGCGTATGTTATCCGTTCCACTCACATTGTAGCGCTATGAGTACTCGTTTATAATGTAGATGAAAAATGTTCTTCATTAGGTTTTTGCTAATTGCTAGCCAGTCTTTGCTAAATATAAAATGCTTATAATACTCACTAAGCCAAATTTCCACAAATTCCAATGTCATCATTCTATATAATGTATACAATAAATTATATATGTATAAATATGGCGATAATCAGATTCAAGCGCGTGCCAGCATTTTGCTATTTTGTTTACAATTCAATAATTTGCGCAATTGCTGAAACGAAGAATTGAAAGCATTGACTATATATAAATA